TGGGTTTATCTCAATCTGGCGACGACTTTCGCCAGAATTGTTTCTGGTGCTAGCCATGACGGCACTTAACAGCCTTGTTATAAGTATATGAACCAGTACCGAGAAATCAGAGGCCACAAACAAAATAAGCCCAAATTCCATGCAACTATAAATAACCGTATGACGAACCCTTTCAGATTGCGTCGTACTTCATACAGAATCGGGGATTCTCTTTTGGCATCAGCGATGTGACGCCCAGCGCCAGGCTGCTGCAGCACAAGCAGGTCCTGCTGGAGCGCGGCTATGCCAAGTGCAACGAGTACATCGAGAAGCTCAAGGCGGGCACTCTCCAATGCCAGCCCGGCTGCACGCCCGAAGAGACCCTCGAGGCAGTGATGCTGCGCGAACTGTCCGGCATTCGAGAGCAGGCGGCCAAGACCTGCTTCGCCGAGCTGCATCCAACGAATAGCGCCCTGATCATGGCGCTCAGCGGCTCCAAGGGATCCAACATCAACATCTCCCAGATGATTGCCTGCGTCGGACAGCAGGCGATCAGTGGCAAGCGAGTGCCCAATGGCTTTGAGAATCGCGCTCTGCCCCACTTCGACAGGCACTGTAAGTAGTACGAGTCAGTATTTCAGATACTCGTTAGATGTCACTCGTTGCTTTATTCTAATAGCTGGCTTGAATTTTTATGCCGCTAATTTTCATTTCTATATGTTAGGTATAATGATTTTGTGAAACAGGCAGAGGGAATCATCGCAGATCCCATAAAGCATACATATTCCTGATCAGGGCGACGAGCTGAGTCGATATAGCCCTATCCGTCTGTCCGTCCGTCTGTATGAATTCCTAGATCTCAGAAGTTACATGAGCTAGAGAGGTGAAAGCGCCTAGACTCGAGTCTACCATACGCAGTACAAGTTTATCATATTTTTTCGATAACTCATTCGATATCTTTTTATTGAGGAGAATCGATAAATTGATTTTGTTTTTCAGCCTATTTTGAATACTATTTGACCTGGAGACTTCAGATTTACTGTGTATATACAAAGATTTTGGATACCAATATACAGACATTTGAACATTATGATCACGCTCTGAAAGTTTCATGAAGATAGTCCTACTACAAAAGAAATGATTCAACAAGTAAATTCTCATAATATTGCACACACTGCAGCGCAGCCCAAGTGCAGTCGCTGCGCAGCTAGCAGAGCGCCTCCTTTTGCGTGCGTGTGGATGGAAGTGTATGTATGTGTGCATAAGAGAAATGCAGAATGATTAGAATATCAGCTTGGAGCGTGCAGGGTGTCTCCTAGTTGAGCAGTCTCGACTAGAGCCTTCTTACTTGTTAACTAATTGTAGGGAGAAGCTACAGTTTTCTTTTCTTTGAGGTTTCTTTTCTTTATGACACTCGTTACTTATGACTCGTCATGTGCTACTCGTTACTATGGAAATCCGAAGATATAGACTAGACTAGCCTAACCTGCTCTCTACTTAATATCTGCTTTAATTTACTCCTTATATATCACTCGTCAAATCTTACTCGTTAATTGATAGGCGTATAACGTCAATCGTTATTGATTACTGGAGTACAACTGTTTATACCTAACAGCTCATTAAGTACTCATTGCAATTCATTCATTACTCGTTTCTCTTGACTCGCCACTTGTTGGCCTGGATATGAACGACTTACTCTTTATTTGCATCTCATGAAATACTCTTTATTTGCCTGCTGGTTGCTCATAATCCCATTACTCGTTACTGATCACTCGCTACTTTCTACAAGTCACTAATTTCGTTTCGCTCTACTTGCAGCCGCAATTCCAGCCGCACGTGGATTCGTGCAGAACAGTTTCTACTCGGGCTTGACGCCTACGGAGTTCTTCTTCCACACCATGGCCGGCCGTGAGGGTCTCGTCGATACGGCCGTGAAGACCGCCGAGACGGGCTATCTGCAGCGACGTCTGGTCAAGTGTCTGGAGGATCTCGTCGTTCACTACGATGGCACCGTGCGCAATGCGGTTAACGAAATGGTGGACACCATTTATGGCGGCGATGGTCTCGATCCCGTTTCCATGGAGACACGCAACAAGCCCGTCGATCTCAATCACCAATACGACAATTTGCGAGCCCAATTGCCATGCGGCGATCAGCAGCCGCTGGAAGCGGGCGAGATACTCAGCACGGTGGAGTCACTGTTGCAGCTTCCGGAATTCGCCGAAGCACGTGCTGACTTTAAACGGGATGTGACGTAAGTTGTGGATCCCTTGATCTTGATTGACATTACTAATAACTTTCCCCCACTGCAGCTCCCACCTGAATACCGTCACGAAGCGCATTAGCAAGCTGCAGGAGAAATACGGTGCCGAGCATAAAGATCTCTGCAAGCAGATCGAGTGCATCAGTCGGGAGCAGCTGCTCGAGTTTCTGCGACGCATTAACGATCGCTACAATCGTGCGGTGACCGAGCCGGGCACAGCGGTTGGCGCCATTGCCGCCCAGAGCATTGGCGAGCCGGGCACACAGATGACCCTGAAGACCTTCCATTTCGCTGGCGTCGCCTCGATGAACATCACACAGGGTGTGCCGCGTATTGTGGAGATCATCAATGCCACAAAGACGATATCGACGCCCATTATAACAGCCGAGCTGCGCAACAATACCAGCATGGAGTTCGCGCGTCAGGTGAAGGCGCGCATCGAGAAGACAACGCTGGGCGAGCTGTCGTCGTTTGTGGAGCTTGTCTGTGGACCCCAAAGCTGCCATTTGGTCATTGGCATCGATACAGCGCGCATTAAGGTGCTCGGTCTTCACATCGACTTGGATAGCATAATGTGCAGCATACTGAAATCCCGGCTGCGCATCAAGGCCAATCAGCTGCATGCGATTCCGAAGAAGTCAAGGATTATTGTTCGTGTGGAGGCGACACGCAATGCGACAATCAATGCAGAGCTGGCTCGCCTAGCGACCACCATACAGAACGTTGTCGTGGCGGGCCTGCCGAATATTGCACGCGCCGTCATCGCTGTCGACGATGCCAAGCAGCCGCCCACCTACAAGCTGTGCATCGAGGGCTACGGACTGCGGGAAGTGATCGCCACCTACGGCGTGGTGGGCGAGCGTACGCGCAGCAACAACATTTGTGAAATCTATCAGACGCTGGGCATTGAGGCGGCGCGCACCATCATCATGAGCGAGATCACGGACGTGATGGAGGGACACGGCATGAGCGTCGACTGGCGTCACATCATGCTCCTGGCCAGCCAGATGACCGCACGTGGCGAGGTACTGGGCATCACGCGCCACGGCCTGGCCAAGATGCGGGAGAGCGTCTTCAATTTGGCATCGGTAAGAGAGAGGAGTTCAATCCCACTTAATTTGTATCTAATTGGTTACTTTCCCCATTCAGTTCGAGAAGACGGCGGATCATCTGTTCGATGCGGCCTACTATGGCCAGACAGATGCCATCAACGGCGTCTCGGAGCGCATCATTTTGGGCATGCCCGCTGGCATTGGCACGGGCATATTTAAGCTTCTGCAGCTGCACGACGACAAACAGGTGCCGGATATATCGCCGACCATCTTTCATGAGTTGAAACTACAGCCGTTTGCCTAGCCCAGTCGTGCGTGCATCGAGCATCTCCATCACCCGCCCGCCATCCGCTCAGCTTCCGAGAAATGCAGCTGTAGCACCAGCAGCAGTACCACCAACAACAGCAGCAGCACTAGCAGCTAATTTTTTGTTAACCCCCAGTTAGTCTAGAGGTATAAAGCAGAAAGATAGGTAGATAGTCTTTCTGCTCATCAAGTTAATGATTTTAAGACAGATATTAGACATAAAATTTGAATTCCTAGAGCAGTTAAGAAATATAATACTTGATTACTTCTGATAATCTAGAACTTCTGGCTGCTGGCATCAAATTAAGAGTGTTATCTATGATATGATATACCTATTGTAAATATGAGTTATTTTTGTAATACTCACTGCGACCAACAAAGAATGGAAATTTAATGAATCCTAGAAGCCACTCAATATATGGACTTTATATTAAGCAATTTTCTATAAGATATATATATTATAGATATATCTATATCAGGTATACATATATCTATATCTAAATAGAAAGAATAAATATAATCAATCTCCAGCATGGGCCCAGTAAAAAACATTTCTTCATTAGTTTCACTTAGTTATTTATTACATAAATATATATTTATATTTATATATAGTATAGTTGTATATATTTTCATAGGGTATGTGCTTAGCATGAATTGAATTTTATAATTACAATATTTGTTTTTTTTTTTTTCTTGTTTTAAATATATGTATACTTAGAGCAAATAAAAATTAAAATATATATACTAAAAAAAAAAAAACAACAAAATTCGTTCGATATATTCAAATAAGTTTTCAATTGATAAAACCTAAATGTAAAGATTTTTTTTTTTTTTTGATTTGATTTTATTTTTGTGTTGTTTTTGGATACTTAGAATAGGCATGGAGCATCATTAATATATTTAAAAAAAAAAAAATAATTATAAAAAAAAATAACTAAAATATGCATATCACAGGATTATTTTTATAAGAAAACGAAAAACATAATCGGAAACAATTAAAAAGATCATCTTTACTTAAGAAACTTTCATTTTCATTTCAATTATTTCATGAAATTTAAAAACAAAGTAAAACGCTGTTCACATTGGAGCAAAAGCAGGTAAAGATCAAATATCTCATATGAGATTTGCTAAAAATCAGATATTCCATATGGGGATTAGCTATAGATATAAATATATATATATATATGTATATATAAATTTTCCGTTTCCATTTTTGGGCTTTTAATGCATGTTTAATTGAGCTTAAGAACTAGTAAAAAAAAATATGATTTTTAATATTTCAATTAGTTATTAAAATCTATAGATCGATTATATATATACATACATATATATAGGCCTATATATGTATATATAAGGTATATATTTAGTTATACGAACTATGACTATAAAAAATTATTTGCTTTGGGCTTTGTTTTACTTTCTATGAGCCGACTAAAACTTAAGCTTAAAGAGAGAGTGTTTGTGTATTTGGGGAGGGGGTAAAATCGATATCGATGTAGAAATCAAAATCAAAATCAAAATCGGAAATCAGTCACTGACATCGCTATGAACCTGGCTGGCACCGACTAGATCCGGCTCCGGCATTGCTCCCATCTCCGATACCGTTTCCGGCCCCGCACTCGCCTGGGCCTCGCCATAACCGGCTCTTCTGTCATGGATCAGCATCGATAGCGTTTCCAGGCTGCGACGCACCTGTAAATCAAATCAAATCAATCATGATTTACTCAATTTATCTACACATATAAATATTAAAAATATCTTTATATACAATATTGTGTGATACGGCGCAGTTGTTAGTCTCCCAGGCATTATTGCCCCCAACTGGCTAGAAGGCCCGGAGGTCGACCAATGTTTGATAAGATTATGAATTGATTCATTGATCAAGTGATTGCCCAATCTATCGATTACCACAGCGGCTAAAGCTCTCGCAAGCATATTATACAAATAATCCTCTTCACTTTATAACGCCATTTGGCAAACGTTCTCTGTCTAGGTCTTTTGTTGGTATTCTCTTTCGCATTGCTTACTCTCTCTCTCTCTCTATCTCTATCAATGTTTTTGTTTCTACTCTGTTCTCTTCATTATTTTTTGACGCTCTCTCGTGATATTCTCGACATATTTTTGGTTCTCTGATCTATTCTCATTGTGTCATTCACACTCTTTTCTCTCTCGCTTAATCTTCCCGTCTTTGTTAAACTCTATCGATACATGTATATATCTACTATTGGTCTCTCCGTTTACCTTCTCTGTTTCTCCGCTGCTCAATCATGTTCTATTCTATATCTATATCTGATTTAGCCTTCCCCCAGGTCTCACTCTAATCCTCTCAATCTCCGCTCATTAGCTGAGCTTCATCTTCTGCTCGTCGACTCTCACCTTAGATATTTGCTCCAGATTCCGCGTTAAAATATGCTGAGCTTCTGCCGTGCTTCTGTCCTGCAGCTCCTTTTGCCAGCGCAGCGCCTCCGCAAAGATGTCTTCATCGTTGCCCGGCCGCTGTTCACAAAGAAGTGAATGTTAGAACTCGGGAATCTGCGTGAGTTTAAGAATGGACTTACCATATTGAAGTCGACTGGCGTCCGGTAGAGACTCGTCTTGGCCTCGATGTCCAGGATGCGGTGGAGTAAGAAGACTGAGAAGAGGGCAAGCATAAAGGCCAGCATTATGCCCAGATAGATGACATGCAGCTCTGTGAGCGACGGCAGCCGCAGGCCCAAACGCAAGCGAGCCGAATGGGCCAATCTACTGAGCCCTCGACCCACTGATGGCGCTGCAGTTGGCGTTGGAGGCGGAGCTGCCACGCCCACAACTGTAATGGGCGACGAGGAGCTGGAAGGAGGGCCAGAGCTGGATGCAGCCGAAGCTGTTGCAGAAGTGGAAGCGGAACCATTCACCGTACGGCTACCAGCGCCGTTCTTAATGAGCAGCACTTGCCCGCCAGCCATCGGCTCCTCATAGTGGACAATGGGTGGAGCGGCGCTGCGAATGGTCACCGGGCTATGCAATACCCTCGGCGAGCTGCTTGCCTGCTGATCTGTTTGGGCAGGCAACACAGAGTTAGTTAGTTCATCTGATATATACTGGATATATATGTAGTAGGGATCTTACCGGAATGTCTGTCAGTGTTTGGTCGCTGCCGGAGAAACATTTGTGGCTCGGATTCGATGGCCGCCGTTTCGGTGGCGGCTGCATCTCGCAGATGTGGCGGGCTCTCGTTGCCGCTGACCGAACAGCTGCTGTCGTCGTCGATATACTCCTCCGTTAGCTCCACATCCGCGGGCAGGGCCTTGGGCAGAATCTCCGCCCCAGAGGCGAGATGGCTGCACACGCTACACATTAGACGAAATGCGGACTCGCGGCTGATGAAGCTGCCAAAGACATGACGCTCATCGGCTGTGGCGACGCCCACAGCATTTGGTATTATTTTAACGGTTTTCTCTTTGGAGATTTTCGTTACCGAAGACGTGGGAATAACAACCTGAATGGAGAACACAATTGACATTAAATGGCCGCACTCTGAGTAAGGGACTAAGAGATCTACCTTGGTTACATAGCCAAAGACATTGGAGTAGAAGGCGAAGTGATCGTCCGTTATGTACAGGTGACCCTGCAGCGGAATGTCCCCAACCAGAGCGCATGAAAAGTCTACAAAGCAGAAAAAATAAAATGGGAAAAAGTTAAGATTTGCATTAGGCTTGAGTAGTATACTTTTACTATATACTTCTTTTTAATTATTTATATATATATGGATATTCATCCATCTCTTTATACAGCTATCTCTATGAATCCATACCTCTAGATATCTATTTATTTACCCATATCTCCATACATCTATCTGCCTATCTACACATCTCTATCTAACTACATATCTCTCCTTATACCTATCTGTCTATCTATAATGATATCTATCTATCAACATATCTCTTCATACTTCTATCTGTCTATACCTATATATATACATATATATATATCCATACATGTATCTATCGATCCATTGCACTTTACATTTCTCTGTCTATAAATTTCTCTGTACATCTATCCATACATCAATCTGCCATCTATCTATAAATTTCTCTATATATCTATCCACACATCCCTCTATCTATATTTATATATCTCTACACATCTTTCCATCTCTCTATTCATCTATCTATCTAACCATTTATTTTATACAGCTATATATACTATATACACTCATGATGAAAATAATAGGTACACCCCTTAAAATTAAACTTTTTTGAGTTTAGTTTAGCAAAACATTTTTTCTACTGCCCTTAACATGAAAATTTAAATGCACATTTCTGAATTAGGTATATATTAATAAAAATAAGTAAATTTGGAAAAAAAATATTATTTTTTCAAAAGTTACAAACAAGTAAACAAAAATGGAGCTTTTTGTGCTTGACAAAAATAATAGGTACACTTTACTTTCGTAAGATGTATTTAATTTTTTGATTTTCAAATCATTCAAAATCTTTTGCTATTCTATTTTTGGATCAATATCCTGTATATCCTCTTTTATTTTCATACAAATTTTTTATCTGATTGGTCATACTCCTAATTAAAGCTTGGCAGGTCCCATTCGTAATCTTCCTCCAGGTTTCTTGGACACAGTCCATTATTTGGCGTTTAATTTCACACTTTTTCTTTACCATCTGCTTTATCAATGCACTACACACGTTTTCGGTTGGATTCAGATCAGGAGAATGACTGGGCCATGCGAGAGTGTCCACCTTACTAACCTCGAGCCAAGCTTATTCTATTGTAGACGAGTGTCTCGGGCCGTTATCTTGTTGTCAAACCTAGCGCAGAGGCATGTTATCCTCAGCATATGGTAACATTATATTTTCGAAAATATCCCTGTAGTCTGCTACTCTCATAACGTCAGATATTAGGAAAATCAGACGATACAGAAGCAGCCCCACACCATAATGTTTCCACCGACATGCTTCACTATTTTTTTTGTGTAGCGAGGATCGAATTCTTTACCTGTAAGGAGTCTTACATGCCTGGAATAGTCACTTCTATAATGGCAAATTTTGGTTTCGTCGTTAAATAGGATAATACGCCACTTTTTTTTTACTTTCAGATCCTTCCCAGGTGATGTGGTCTTTAGCAAAATTTTGCATCATCATAAAATTTTTGGTGCGCATCAATTTCAACCATTTTTTCGATACGACCTGATAGTTTAGCCATATGTAGTCATCTCCTAATTAAAGAAGCATTAATAATATTATCTATTACGGAAGCAATGACCTTTGAAGATTTGAAAGGGTCGGAAAAGTTGCAATCCTTATAATGCGTCGGTCCAGTTCTAGTGTGGTTTTCGATGAACTTCCACGTGTTCCCTTTTTATTGTGCATCTTTAAAGCATTTTGCACAACGTTAAGAGATCTGTTCATCAGTTTCGCAATTTCACGCAAAGATTTGCCATTCCTTCGAAGGTTTTTAGCAATTCTGCGTTCCTGACTCGAACAATTAATATTTCGACCCATCTACATATGATATTGATAATTTTTTTTTACATCAAACATCTGTAGGAAGGTTACTTACTATTTTACAACAAAAAAAGAAATCATTCTTATTTTAAACTTTTTTTTCGGGCTGAAGTAATGGAGTGTACCTATTATTTTCAGCAGACCCATTTCAGTTTATTGTGACTACTATGAATTTAGGGGGAAATATAATTTTTTTTGGCATGCATCATATTGCCAGATTGCTCTCTTAAAGTTACCATCCATTTTTTTTTTCAAAAATATCAAAAATTAATTAGTTATGACAGAATCTTCAAAAATTTTTGGGTGTACTTATTATTTTCATCATGAGTGTACATCTAGCTACCTATACGTCTATCGATCTACACAATATAGTAGTAATTCAATCTGAACTATTATAATATAAATTTCATCTGGCATACAAATCAATCAGCATTATCAACATAGCTCTGAGAATAAACGCTATGCTATGCTATTTTATAGTTGATTGATTGTTAGCCGATGCAATAAGGAAGTCTGGCATCTAGAAACAGAAATGCTGTCACAAAAGCGCCATCTGTCGGCCTTTACTTACAATTGATGAGCTTCTCGTCTTTGGAGACTTGCGAAAAATGGCGATGGAACTTTTTCACACGCGAACTGGAGACTTCCTTGCGCTTCTTCTCTTTTTCATTTGGCGTTGCGGCTACTGTGGCGCTGCCCGCAGCTGCCGATGAGGACGCAACGCTGCCGCCGCCGCCGCCGCTGCTGCTGCCGTTGCCGGCGCCAGCGGTGGCAGATGTTGAGGAGATCGTTGCCACCGCTGACGCCTGTTGCAGTTCATGTTGTTTGGCCGTGTTGCCGGCCGCTGAGCCGCCCGTCTTGCCTTGACCCTGACTCGGGCTGTGACGGTTGCGAGGACTGATACTGGAGTTGCTAGCGAGACTCTGAGCGCTGCCGCTCGACTGCAGCGGACCGATATAGCTGCTGAAGCTGCTTTGAGGCAATGAACTGAAAATGAAAGAAAAAAGAATATATATAAACAAATCATGTTAACGTATTTCTCCCACTTATAGTTAATCAGCAATAAAAAGTTTTGCCATTTTAGAAGTCTAAAACTGTCTGACAGCGCCAGTTTATTTGAACAATGTAGATAAGTGTAATTGATCAATAATAATAATGATATACGCTGTTCGAAATATGATCTATGATTTATAATCGGTGATCTATGAGATATGATTTGTGATCTATGATCTTTGATCTTTGATTTCTGATATATCATCTATGATCTATGGTATATGTTCTATGATCGGTTATCTATTCTCCATAATCTGTGATGTATGTATTCTATATTCTATTCTATATTATATTCTATATATATTTTATATTCTATATTCTATATTCTATATTCTATATTCTATATTCCATATCCCATTTTCATACGTATCGCTCGTCTCCATTCATAGTCCAAAATTTTGTGCAGTGCCTTGAGGAAATCTTTATCAGGCATTGTGCTTAACGATAACACAGTCCCGACCATAGCCACAAACCTATCGGTTGACACAGAATACTAAATGGACAAGGTTAAGGCGAAACGTTTAAGGTAAAGGTTGCTAAGAGCTCTAGCTGAGGCTTGTATTGCCATCTGTCGGCTGACTGCAGGAAACTGGGTTCTGCTTAGACTAAGGCCTAGATAATGCCAATCGATTAGCCATAAAGCTTTTATGATCGAGCGCAGCTGGTGGAATACCTTTGTCAATTAATAGCCCAATTAAAAGTAGTAAAAGTTTGCGATACGCGAACACAAGTTGCCGAGATAATAAAGCCAGCGTAATGATTAATACAGCAAATTGGGAAGCCTCAAAGTTGCGTGATCATGCTTCATGTTCCATTCAATGAAATGAGGGAATATTATATTGTACAATGCGTTAATAGCAACATTTTATAGTATTCTGAAGAGAAATTCTAATTGCAGAGCATCTACTAGTTTCCTATTCATGTTAGATTGTATTTTTTTTATCTTTTTTACTTTTGGGCTCAACAATCGTAGAGACCTTATCGCTAGACGCACAAGCCGATTTATGGTAGAAGCTCATGACATAGTAAAGATTTACGATGCTTCGTTATTTGCCTTCTCACCTTGTTCCTCTTTGTTTCTATCTCTGTTTCTTTCTCTCGCTGTTTCTCTTTCACACCACGCTGTTTCGACATCGTAGTGATCTAATATTTAGATCTACATACATGCAATATAAACACTCCGAAAGTATAGACTGATAAGGCTCCATGTGCTGTCTTATAATTTATAGTATATACTAATTATTATCTATACCATGAACCGGCGCATGAATCAGGCGAAGCGTCGGCTCAGCAGCCAACTGCATACCTGAGGTGACCGACCCACAGCTGAACCTATATTTAGATATGGATATATCTAGTCTTGTCGATAAGCGTTTACAGTTTGTTTGCCAATTTTATTAGACCTTTGAGCATAATCTTATTTGCATTCTGTTTGAGGCTTAGATAGCTGCAGTTCAGAGTATTATGTCGTATGCTCAGACAGTTCACAACTTTCGCTGATCGTTGAGTCATCTGGCAAATGTTGTCATTGTCCAGTTGTAAACGTGTTTTTCTTTACGTTTCTGTTGTCTTTTTATTCCCCTGAGTTTATGGTTCGCAAGCTATCGGGTAAATGTTAAGGGTGCAGAGCGCTATACAAGATAAATGATTTTATAATAGGTCTTTCAACTCAGTTAGCCAATTGGCTAATGGAAATCGTTTTCTCTATTCTCGTGTTATCAATGTAACTCTTGTATTCATTGTATTCATTGATTAGGTGTTAAACCAAGTGGCAGTTATGTAAGGGTTAAAAATAATCGCATTTCTGTTGATTATATGAACATACTAAGTAAATAGAACGCAGAATAAGAGTATTATATTTGAGATTTACTCTTTCTCTCTCCTTTTACAATAATTCTTTTATTCTTTTTAACTTCTTTCTAAATTATTGCATATAAGATTTGCATCCCTAACAATTCCCTTTTGATAAAGTCCAAAATTACTCAATTAAGGCAATTATCAACTCGAATTCATATCGCAAATGTTAACAGAGTCTCAATGCATTCTTATAATCCTTTTAAACATTTCGCTAGTTCCTACTGCATCGATTTCGCTTCAAATCTGCTTTCTATTTTAATTAACATACATATGTCAAGCGCCAATTCGCCTCTAACTAATTATTCGCTCCTGACTTACGGCGTTGAATTGTACTGCTGCTTGTGCTTGTCATTCGCCTTGAGTCGCTCGACGCCATTTTGAGCTTTGCTCTCTTTGGATGAGTGCTCTCGCAGGCTGCCGCCGGCAGCATTGTTGTTGTTGCTGCTGTTGCCCTGGATGCTGCTGGTGGGTTCGATGAGGGACATGCGTTTGAATGTGCGCGCTACGGAACGTGCGCCGCCGACGACAACGTCGCCGGCTGCATAGACAAAGTTGCGATCGCGGGAGCGGGACTGGGAGCGTGTGCTGTTGTTGTCTTTCTTTTGCCGCCTGACAACCGGTGGATGCGTCATGTTGTAATCTTTGTTCTCAGTGCTCTCAGTGTTCAGGCTGTTATTGTTATTGTCGTCGATAGGCGGCGTATCGCTGCGTATATCAACACGTTGCACTGGCGACGCACCCCCGTCCCCCGCCGCCAGATCCTGCTCGAAGTAGACGTTCATCCGGCGCACATTATCCGCTACGTGCATTTTTTCCAAAATTCTTTTCTCGTCTTTTTTTTTCAAATTAATAAATTTTTTATTTGACTTAAGTTACACAGCCCCAAAAAAAAAAAACAAAACTATAGCAATAACAAATGAAAGTAGGGTATTAAACACGCGCGCTCTCTGAATTGCATTCGACTAATGCAAATATACAAAAAGTAAATTCTAGCTGTAACCAAAGCGCAGCGAACGCGCCTCAACTGTCAACTGTTAACTGTTAACGGTGCTTGTTTGTCTCTTTTGTCTTTTGTATTTCGTGTCGTCCGCTTGTTACATATTTTGCTTTAACACCATCCGCTGCCGGTCGTGTCTCGCGCAAGCGTCTCGTGTTAACTGAAACGGTTTAACAGTGCCGGCAACCACAACCAGTGTTGCCAGGTTTTGAGACATAAAAATAGCAAAATCGTCTCTAAAAAATAGCTGAAAATAGCTAAACAAATTTTAAAATAGCTTACAAAATAGCTGAAACCTTTATGCATTATGCATTTACTTTAAATTTTATTTTTAAATGTTATTTAATAATGTTACAATTTGGTCCACATCCAAATCATCATCAGAATTATATTTTTGATTAACTGGAATCATTTTTAAATATTTGGAAGGCACGGTATAATCATGGCAGCATTTGCCATTGCTGCGCAAGAAGAATTAGCGATGGTATAAATTCACAACTAGTGATGGTATAAGTACGACAAAGTCGTGGTGGTAGTATCGCGCAGATCATTACGTACAATTTGGGACTTAATCGAAAAATGTTTTTTTATTTTTTATTTTTTTGCTTTAAATACTAAAATCAAATTCAAAATATTCGTTTGTAAAATAGCTAAATTTATAGCTAATAGCATTTTCAAAATTTTCATAGCATTTAGGGTTCAAAAATAGCTAAAAATGCTATTAAATAGCTAATCTGGCAACACTGACCACAACGGCGACGCAGCAGCTGCCATTGGACATTTTTACCACTGGCATGGTCGACGTTGACGCCGGCAGCAGCAGCAACAGCAACAGCCACAGCAACGATGGCAACGTCAGCGGCGGCAGAGACAGCGGTTTGTTTATAGCTTGAGAGGCGCGAAAAGCAAATGGCGACAGCAGTTGATGAAAGCATAATATACCCTGCATTGCATCTGACTTAAGTGCAGAGATGAATAATAAATGATATATTTTATTTTTGTTATATTATTACTACAAATTTGGTAATTATTATATCAGTTGATGAAAGCATAATATACCCTGCATTGCATCTGACTTAAGTGCAGAGATGAATAATAAATGATATATTTTATTTTTGTTATATTATTACTACAAATTTGGTAATTATTATATAGCGTACTATTACGTTGAATTAGCTAAAGCTTCTATGCCCAATTTCATAGGTACTCACATATGTGACAAACAATATACCCGCATATGCCGGCACATTTGCTACAGGGCATGGGCTATGCATGTGCCTTTGCATTGCTTTGTTCTGCTTTTGGTTTTGTTTTTGTTTTGGAGACGTCTTCAGATAGCTGTTGCGTCTATCTCTATTAGTTAATTGTTAAGTTTTGAAAAATTGTTTACTTCTTGCCTTGAAGCGCATGAAGCGTCAACTAATTAATTAATTATCTCTTATCAAACGCAATTGTTATGCTTTGTATAAAAAGAGAGCGAGAGCGGGAGCCAGAGTGAGTGAGAGCGAGAGAGTGGAAGAGAGGCAGGGCATATATTTTAATATTCTCATTCTCATGTAAACATTTATCAATGGCATTCGTTGTTCCCGCTGCAAGAATAGATAACACATATCTAGCATTGTTCGTTGCGTGGTTTGGGGCCGTCTGCTGGGGCTATCCTGTAAACGGATTACTGCGGCTCGTGACGCGTCGGGCCGAATGATTCATCGTGGAACACTTTCATAAAGTGGAGTGGTTCATAAAAATAACAGCGACTGATTATGCACTGGTAGTTGACATTTAATTGTTTATTGACAACCTGCTGTTCCTTGCGCCCAAAATCTTCAGAGTGACTCATTCGGAGCACTGAGCGGTAGGCGAGACCAAGCAGCTGCCCTCCACATGATGAATCATGTGAGTCTTATCAGAGCCCCTCGAAAGAGGAGGCAAACCGTGGTGTGAGGGCTCGCAGCTCAACATCAATGCAATCGACTTTCGATTGATTATCAAACATATATCAATATACAATTATTGCTTTATAAATACTGAACGGCATATGTTTTCCGAACACGTGTGATTTATGTTTCCCCCTGGCATCTGATAGCAAGACTTTCCTAACACTCGCGTCCTAGCTTATGTATGATACCTGTCCAGTAGAGGGCGCTTTGCATATAGTAAATACGACTTTTCAATATTTTAGAGTAGCTAAATTTATTTTTAGATATTTTATTTTTAGCTTATTTTAAACATATATAAATATTTACATATGTATATACAAATATTTTTTTAACCTTTTTTTAAAACATATTTTCTATTTTTATTATTATTTATTTATTTATTTTTCAATTGTTTTTTAAATTTAGTAATGAACATCGAACGAGTATTGGTCAGTCAGTAAGTTTGGAGTAGGGAGTGCTACGTCGATTAGAGTGACCAGAATTTGGCGTACACACTATCCTAAACTCTACGATAACGATGATGATGATGATGAGTAACCCATTCGCCTGAATTGGTTATGGGTGATTCATTGCTTATCTCTATCAGATATCTAAGGAATCAGCCAAGTAGTCGAGTGGCTGTTATGTGAGTAACCGATATTTTAATTAATCACTAATCACTGTTAAGCTAATTAGTCGATTAGCCATGATTATGCTGAATTTTCACATGTGACACGTGTGCGTGATAAGAGGGAGAAGGATTGTAGGAAAGAGAAGGAGAGAGCGAGGGAATATCTCACGAGCTTCTAAGCAATTAACAAACTAGATATAGTCGAGGCCCGATAATTCGAAATGGCAAGGGGATCCGTTTGTTTTCTTTCGTATTTTCGATTAAGCGGCGCACAATTACAACAAATTATCACAACTCGAGACTCGATTGCACATTTATTCCCTTCAGAACGACTTAACCAAATGGTAAAGTAAGAGATAGAGATAGCGAACTAAATAAAGCGTTATGTTTGTTGTTATAAACTTAAGATAAATGTTATACATATGTTCTTATTCGCTAATATTCAAAACAAATGACGAATACGCGTTCGGTTGAGAAACCAATGAGCAGTTACTAAAGACTCGTTTACCTAACCAAGAAACCAGTGAGTTCTATGACTCAACCCTCTTAACTAACGAGTGTGATATAAACCATTTATTTCGTTTGGTAAATTTTTAATATAAAATGAGCTACGAGACTAGCGAGCAATTGATATTAACTATGCAGCTGCAGATCTTCTTCGCATATGTGGCTTTAGTATAATTATCAAGCTTGAAGAATCAATTCAATAAACTCAAATTATCGATTTAAATCGATTAAAGGCGCTTATATATAATCCCTATCATATACAATAAATAATAAAGCATAGGCAACTTAAAATAATATACCCAACATTACATTATCACTTACAATAGGGCATGAAGTCAAGAAGCTCCTCTTGAATCTATTTCTGGCACTTAATGGTCTTGTTTATCTTGGCAGCTGACTCTGGCAATAATCTATAGATATATTTTAGTGTGTGTGTCTCTGTGTGTCTGTGTGTGTGTGTGTAGCGCACCTGCAAACACCTGCTGCACACCCACACACAGATAGACACACGCACAGCGTATATTTACAGGCCTTTATTTTTGGTGTTTTCTGAGAACTGCCTGATTAAGACAACAACAAAAAGCCGCATGACTGTCAGATACGCCATGCCACGCCCATTGGGCGACCAGAAAAACGGCCCACACCGATGAGCAAACAAAAAACGACAGAAAAACACGCGAATTGGCCCATTGATAAGGCAAACAGGTGGGCAAAAATATAACGATAAGAGGAAGCAGCAGCAGGGGCAATGCCGATCAGCGATGTTAACTGCGCTTTAGCCATATCTTATCGATAGAAATTGTTTCAATTGCCAGGCCAATTATTCGCACAGGCATACAGAAACAAACAGACAGACAGACAGACGGGCAAGCACAACAGGTAGCTAATTGCTCTGGCTCACCTGTGCTCCGGGCCAAGCGTCTCGGGCAGGGAGAACTGTGTGGCCACTTGTTGGCGCCTTAGTTGAGGCAGTTGTTGCTCTAGTTGTTGTTGTTGTTGTTGCTGCTGTTGCTGCTGCTGCTGTTGCTGTTGGTGCAGTTCGTTTAGAGTTGTCGCTGCTGTTGATTTAGGATTGTCGCCAGCTGCTGCTGCTGCTGCTGCTGCTTGTTGTCCTGGCAGCTGCAACGCTGCCATGGAGCCTGTTGCACGCTCATCGACGGCGCAGCTGTTGCCACTGACGACGCTGTTTGTCGATCTGTTGATTAGCCAAAGAAAACAGACAAGCGCACAGCCACAAGAGCCGAGCGCGGCCAACGCGGCGTATGAGTAACTTGTGCCACATCAGAGCAAACATAAACCAAACACAAATTGTTGCATGCTTTTAGGCGGAGACATGAAAACGCCAACAAACAAAACAAAACTCGCTTTGGGCTCTATGTGAAGGCGGCGTGTGCGTGTGGCTGTCTGTGAATGTGCTCGTGTGTGTGTGTGTGCGTGTGAACTTTTCGAGTATTTAGTCTTTACATGTATACATACGGTGTATGATGGACTGTTCGTATCACTCGTTAATATCTATTTGGATATTACAGTCGAGTTTCGATAATTGAAAAGCGCAAGAGGATCAGTTTTGTTTTCGACTTGCACAGAAATTCCAATTATCGAAAATTATCGATAGATTTTTTTAATTTTAGATTTAGCGGGGTACAAATTACCGTGACTTGACTGTACTTGTTACTTTACTATATATATCAAGTATATTTCGCATTTCGATTGGCTGTAATTATATTATGCAACGAGTTCAGCTTTATTTCTTCATGCTTCTCATTATCGATTACTCGTTACATCCCAATCTAACATAAAATCTTCAAAATAATTCGCTTGAAAACATTAATATAGAATCTTCACTTATATATGATTGAGAAATTTTAGCTATTTGTTCTCAATTTTCCACATGTGCTCTAATCTAGATAGAACAAATATCGGATTGCATAGATGTGGAATTGAAATACCCTTGTAACATAAATGGTCATTCTATATTTATTAATTGCAACTGTTTAGCTAATTGAGAAGAGCAGCATGCAAACTAATTAAGCTCTAGCAAAGAAGCTCAATTAATTGATGAAATTGTTATGAAACAGATATATATAGAGATATATATATCTTATACTCATATTTATAGATATTAAAGATTTGGGTTAAGATCTTAAGCGACAAAAAAAAGGCATGAAATGTAAAACTTAAAAGAAAGCTTTAAAAAAAAAAACTATGTTCCACGTTTTTCCGCTTTTCCCGCTGGATTTCAATCTATACTCTTATATTATTATATGAGTTTATATGAATTTCGTCGTTTCTATTTTCCACCAATTTCATCAGCTCAATTTCCACTGCTCGATGGAAATTAATGCATATATACTATGTGCATTTCATCCATTGGGGCTGCTTACTTTGCATCGATTCGGTCTCTTTAATTATTCAAGTCCGTTAAGCCAATGTGCTGAAAGGCTCGTCGCATAGCCCTAAATTGTACCACCCGCTTTCGCCTGTCACCTCCCCGCCATAGACACGTGCAGTTGCTCATTAATAATTAAAAATTCATATTTCATAAGCCTCACAAGTTCTATTCCCATATGAACAAAGCGTTTCATTTACATTTTTAATCTGTGGTAAAAGAATAAACAGATTCGGAGTACTTGAAGGGGTCTGTTGATATTTCGAAAAGTTCCGATAAAAGGATGACCTTTCGAAGGCCTGACAACGCTTTAATTGACTAAACGCAAAGAAATGTTTAGATTAATCCATTAAAACTTGGGGCAGCTTTCATCGAATATTTATAGCCATTTTAACCTTTGACTTTTAATACTGGCAATCCCTGGACTCCCATTAAAGATAACATCAGCTTTGGAGACTTTGACAACCGTGAAATTATATATATATATATATAAAAAAACAATCATGAAATGTTTTTGGAAATAATTTAAGTGCTGAACTGAAGTTAAGGCCTTTTGGAGACTATGAAAAATCTATGGAGATTTTCAACAACTCTTTGGAGACTATGGCTAACATCCAATTATCTTTAAAATGCGTTTGGAAACTTTAATATGCTTTTAATTATATCAGAGATTAGCATTAAAAGCGTTTGGAGTTTTTGTCTACTTGACTATTATATTATATTGCAATAGTCCGTATTTGGAGACATTTTAAACATAACAAAAGATAAATTACAGACTAATGTTGCTGGAGATATTGGTAGAAATTTTTAAAATTTCGCTTCGATAGCTCTCAATTTGTATTGGAAACTTTAATGGAGACTCTTCAGTTATTGGAGAGGCTAGCAAAATGGGAAAACAAATCAATTAAAATTATTTTTGAGACTTTGATAGCAATTGTGATGATGTTTCTGAAGACTAAAGAAGCTTTGGAGACTTTAACACGCTGAAAACACTGTGAAAAAAACAAGTTCATAACTTTCGTAAAACTTGTACCTTATATAAAATTTTCATCTAGAAGGCTTTTATAAGGAGACTTGTAAGTTGTATAAAACTTTTGATCCAGGAGGCTTTGTTCACAGAGAAACACTCTGTTTACATATAACTTTGAAAACTCTCAATCAATGTAGGCTTTTGTGAGCAACCGAGGCCATGTAGTAAATCAAACAGCTCTAAAATTTTCATTTACAATTTTGAAGCAGACGAAATCGTACAGATTTGTGACTATAGTCTCGTTCAAATTCAAGACGTATAACTTCGTTATTATATTTTTTTTATAAAAAAAAATTTCCTTTTTAAAAATTACAAAATTCAAAGTAAATTCATATCGTGAATAAAAATAACTAGAGAAATCGTTCCACCGTTGAAACGAATACACGCCCGTGAGCACAGTGATAATACGCATAAAAAGTACAAAAAATCGTCGATTCAAAGTGAACACAGCAATAACCCACGCGAAAATACACAAATATATATATTCGCACGTATATATATTATATATATATTTGAAGAACCATGCATCGCCGAGGCTTTGCTCTGCCCAAATACGCGCTGTGTATTAAGAGAAGTTCTCTGAGCGCGGTTGAGCGGTATGAACTGAACCAGTGGCTGGAGGAGCATCACATTAGCTCATCGAACCTGCGACGAGCCTTCACCGATGTGCAACCCCTGGCCCGACTGTTGCATCGTTATTATCCCGAAATTATTGATCTCAAAATCTACCCGCCAGTGAATAGTGTGCACAACAAGGTGTGTAACTGGGAGACATTTAACCGGCGCGTCCTGTCCAAACTGGGCCTGCAGTTGACTCGGGAGCAGATGATTCGTGTTGCCCGCAGCGTGCCCGGCTCTGTGGATCAGCTGCTGTATAGCATAATGCGTGTCCATCGGGCAGCAGAGCAGAAGGCGCGCGAGCAGCGTGTCAGCACCGAGGAAGAGGATGAGTCGACAACGGCAACTTTGCAGCCATCTGGTGGAACGGACGAGGCCAAGTCCAACGAACGGAAACCACTGACCCTGCCCGTTCCCGTGCCGTTGCCGACGACCTTGTCCTTCAGTTTGTCGCAGGCCAACAGGCAGAATATTGACGAAGTCAATCAACTGATACCGACCGCATACGCAGTGAGGAGCCTGAGGCAGGCAGCGTCCGCAACTCCATCGACGACTGTGAAGAGTGCGTCCATGTCACGAGGTGGCATACCCACGGGCGCTAGCACCACTGGACGTTCGGGTCGCACTAAGCGGCATTCGCTGAACAGACGCTCCTACACAACAACGCCAACTGTCGAGCTGCCAGCAGGAGAGACAGCGGCCATCGGAGGTGCAATGCCAGAAGCAGCTGCGGCAGTCCCACAAACAATGGCAACAGCATCCCGACAAAGAGGTGAACAAGTTAATGTGCAACCAAAACAACGTATGGTACTTTATTCCGTCTATATGCAGGCCGTTAAGAAGTTGCAGCGTCGGAACGCTCGAATCGCTCGTTACGACCAGTGGAGCGCTCATCTGGAGAACATGCTGCAGCTGAAGTGCGAACGGATCGATGAGCTGCAGCGCCAGGTGGCCGTTGCCATGTTGGCCACCCGCCAACAGAGTCGACGATCGAGGCACAAGAAGCGTCAGGTCCCAACAACGATTGGTGGGATGCTAGAGGCTTCTAAAAGACTGTAGATGCATACACACACCCACACATACACATATATATATATATACTTGCATACACACAATCACAAAGAAACACTGACATTCCCACTTCTGAATCAATCGATCCCAGTGTTCATACCTCTCTGCTCGCATATATACATATATATATATATTGTACACATATACACATGTATATATATACATTTATATATATCTCTTTATATATCCTTATATGTCCCTATATGTATGCAGTCTATATATGTATATCGCATTCAAGGCTACTTTATCTTCTCTACCAAATTTCGGTTCAATCTATCATATCTCTGATTTGTCCATAGCATAATTCAAATTCGGGTCGCACATTTCTTTCGGCACAAACTTTATAGAGACAGTCACCCAACCTAACAAACGCCCTCCTCCCCTGATTTAGACCAATATCTAAACAAAAACAAAAACAAACAAAAAACGAACAAAAACCTAACCTGACAATACAATACATTTTTTTTGTAAATTTAACCAAGCACATTTGATGAAATAAACCAAATATTAAGCGAAACGAATTTTGTAATTACCAAAATATTTTAGATTTAATGCGCTGCTTTGCTCGACACGTTTACGGCATCTGGAATTACTGGAATGTGTGGCACATAAATGGAGAAGAGCTCTTCGTAAAATGTTCTGTGCAGCGAGGGCTGCCAAATGAGTTTATGTATCACATATGTTCGCAATAAATCATATTATATTAAGACAATAAATTCAAGCTTTTACTTTGATTAAGCGCGTACAAGCTCGTTTACGCAAGCTCATTTAAGCTCACTGTAAAAAGCTTCGCGGGATGTTTATGGGTTTATATATGCAATTACTATAAAGTTTTGGTGATTGAGCTTTACATAGGGAATTTGTTCTTATTAAAGCTCTGCTGACTTGGTATTTGATTCTGTAATCTCGAAAGGCACATTGCTTTTGTTTGGTATGAGCTTTCATAACGGCTAAAAGTTCTTATAGTTAGGCTTCTACAGTCAAGTCTTATCGCCGATTTTGATTGCTATAAGCAATAAGGAAAGGCAGACAGAGAGAGAGATGGAGCTAATTTGACTCATCTGTTGGTCTCAATAGAGAACAAATACCTACTTATGTATATACTTGATGGAGTCCACCAAGAGTTTTTTTTTTCTTTCAGGGCAAGACGGCAACGTCTTCTGAAGTGTAAGTTTTTCAATTTTCATTAACAAAGGAGCTTGAGATTTTTACTTCGAATCGAAGTAAGTAAATCGCAACAAACTGTGCGTCAGTTCTCATAAATTGTTTACATATCACTATATATATATTATATATTTCCTATTATCAAATATTTTGAACAATTGAAGACAATCACAAACCGTGTAAAATGCACACAATCAATAGCAAAACCCTCACGGCCGAGGAATTGGCCGATTTACACAAATGGCTACAGCAGTACGATATAAATACATCACGATTGCGACGCGAATTCTCAGATGTTTTGCCCTTGGCGGAGATGATGAAGCGGGATCATCCACGTTTGGTTGATTTAAACAACTTTCCGAAGCGCAGCAGCGTCCAGTTGAAGGTGGCCAATTGGGAGACGTTCAACTATAAGGTATTGAACAAATTCAATTTGACATTGGGTCGTGAATTTATCGAGCTTCTCTCGACGGGCGCCCCTGGGGCTGCCGAGGTGCTACTGCATGAGATCATGAGACTGAAGAAGCGTCAACGTGTGGTGGAGACAAGGAATGCGATACTCGCCCAGGAGCAGATCTGGGAGGAGAACGACGAGGTGAAGACGGTGGTGGTCAACAAACAGGTGGGCGACGGCATCGTTCAGGTGCCCCAGAAGATGATTCTCTATTCGCTCTATGAGAAAATGGCACGCGATAATCAGGCCAAGGATCTGATCATTGAAGCCAACCAGAAGCGCCTCGCCCACATGGAGAATATCATCAAGGTGAAGACCGAGCGCATCGACGAGCTGCTCATGCAAATGGGCAAGGTGCCCAACAAGCTATGCGGCAACAGTCCACGGCTGCAGTGCTCCAGCGTCCCACGATTGCCATCCACATCAATGATCAGCTATGAGGCTCTGGGTGCTATGCGTAAGCGACATCCAAATACGCCAGCCTCTTCCGATTAGGGACACACACACACACGCGATGAGGGTGCAGGTTGGCGAGAGGGCGGGCAGCAAGATGGAAGGGAGGGGAATGCGAATGCGAATGCGAATGGGGAAGAGAAAGAGAAAGGAAAAGGCGAAAAGAAAAACATCAAGAAAACGAAAAAAAAAAAAAAAAAAAAGTGAGTTAGAAAATACTGATATTGTTCAGATAGATTGATGGATCGATGAGAAAATTAAAGGTAAACCACGACATACAAGAGAGGAATACAAGGAGGGTCGGCAAGGAAGAGAGAGGATGACAAAATTAGAGAGAAAGCCAGCATGGCTATTGTCATGATCTCACATCATCATCACACAAATATACAAACACACACACACACACACACACTTAGATGCAGGCATATATTTTTGTTAGCGTAGTTCGATCCAACTGCATTCGCATGTTTAGTTTTTCATAAAATAGTATTCCAATGAACATTTTCTGATATTTTTGGGCATGATCAATACATCCAGTATTTCGCTTATACGAACTAACCAAATTTAAACACAACATATTGAAATTGTAGTCGAAAACGATTAAATGTGTTACAAATTTTAATAAACAAAAACGGTTTTATAACTATGTGCGAAACTAAAAGTTCAATCCAGGAACCCTATGAAAGGCCCGATTCGGGAATTGCTTCTGGCATTCGCAAAATGAATATTTGTTTTAAGACAATAATACGATACGCTCCATTTAGCTAATGAAAATATAGCATGAGTTAGACTCGGTGTTTCACTTCCAATTATACCGCTAAAGCTGAATTTTTAATATTTTTCATTAATGAGAGGACAACTTTCACATGTTTTTCTGTTAATATGCATCCTATTTGATTTTAACCAACAATTAGATTTAATTTCCACTAGTTCCCTATAGAATGATCTCATCTAACAACCCCTGTCTTTTTATATATTCTACGTGACAACCCAACATTTCATCAAGGCTTTTGCCATACCTTAATGTTTCAATTCTAAGCGTTCTATCTAATATAATTGCAGAGTATGGTGTCATTTTAATGCATGTATTGTGTTTAATGAGTATTTTAACAAGCTTTGTTTCACTTCCGCTCGTTCCACTCGATCATCTAGTAATTAGCGACCATAGAATGACATGTGGAGACATTTCATTGCAAGTGTGGAATCTAACGAGCATTTTAACAAGCTTTGTTTCACTTCCGCTCGTTCCACTCGATCATCTAGTATTTAGCTTCCATTTAAAAAAAAAAAAAACATGGTTTCACTTCCACGATATTCCACGCAATAGTGTTTCCCCTTCCCATCCGTTATCATATGAGAAAATGTCTTGATATCTACGCGTACCTGGACTTTAATAATAGACGTTTCTTGATCGCTGGCCGAATTGATGATGCTCTCTCCTGGCTGCTATTGCTGCTGTTGTTGCCATTGCTCTGGCGACTCCATTGCCAGCTGCTATTGCTGACAGTCAGGCTCTGGGCTAGACAGAGCAAGGCGCTGCCGCTGCCCGTGCGATACATATTATAGATATATATTTGTTTTCGCTCCTCGGGGGGTTTGTTTACGAGTAGCTGGCATCTATCTCTGTGCGTCAAATTTGCAGCTTGATGGCTTAATTAAATTAAGTTTTATGGACTTGCTGTGGGCGTGTGTGTTGTCCGTCTGCCCGACTAAATATATATACACATATATATAAATACATATATATATATATATATATATATATATATGAGCGTTAAACGCTTTGATAAGCATTAAAATACACAGAGACAAACACAATTTAGCGCGTCAGGTCAGCCGCATGCCTGCCCAGAATGTGTCTTCAATTACATGTGCGAATTTAATACCAACGACCGCCGTTACATGCAACTATATATATATCTGTAGATATATATACCTATATATGTGTCTACATATTCGTATTATTGGTGTCTTTGATTGACTTCGTTTTCGCTTAGCACCGCACAAGTAGAGGACGCTGACTGCGTGCCCAAATGTGTCGACGGCGCAATTTTATACGAGCGGGCTGCTCGTTTGGGTCAGTGCGAGGGTTGCAGCAGTTAACTAACTAATGCATGACTCATAGACTTGGCTAAAGGCGGCTTAAAGTGGCTTACACACTTAACCCGAACCGCTTAGCTTGCGTACTTTGGCCGCCCATCTGGCCGAATCGCCTTTTGAACCGGCTCAACCGTGAACTGTGAAGCAAGGCTATGCGAGAGATATGATAGCTCTATGGCCTCCCATCAGTCCCAATCATATTTCCATTGGCTCCGACAGCTACAAGATAGTTAAGTATATATTTTAGTTATCTATTACCTACCTATGTTTCATTACTTACTTTCAATTATATGTAACAAGAGACGATGGAACCCGTTCATATCATACGAATATAACTGAATATAACTATTATATAAAATAGTTCACATTACCTATCACTCCTAGAAGAAATTAGAACTATCTCTGAACTGGTTCAGAATAGAAATTTTAAACATGTAAAAAGGCTTCCCTGAATACTTTGCTTACTTATCTTAAAGCTAAAGTATATCAAAATCAATTATATATAGTATGTTCTTTCATATCGGTTCACAAGACGAAATTGCGAATTATAAATGAACCAGTGAATCGATATGAGCTTGAGCAAAGAGCTCATTTATTGTGCAGCACTCAATTCGAGGGTCTGTTAGGGCGTTGCCACGCCCCATGTGACACCCGACTCAATTGACACAGCCTTGCGCTTTCTCACGGCCCTGTCCCTGAATTTTTGTTTTGTTTTGCGCGAATTGCATTTTTGAAATTTAAATTTTGTACGGCAAGTTAAGCAAAAGACAATTGAATACGAGAGCAAGTATCGATTTACAGAGTCGGTCTATAGTGCCAGTATAGCCCAACTAAAGGTCTTATGTACATATCGAGTGCACTGAAAGCAAATAGATAGAAAATACACTAGAAAAAAAAAAAAAAAAAAAAAAAAAAAACAAAAACAAAAAAAACAATCAATAGTGAATTGTCACAAATAGACCAATCAAACCCCTTTACACAGAGATCAATCATCTATTATGAAAATTTAATCAACATCAGTTAACAAGATATAATGCATGGTGAATCATTTATAATCAGTTCTCATAAGTCATCAATCATCTGTCAACAATCATAGATAACTATCGTCCATCATGCATAATTTATCAATCAATCAATCTGTCATCAATCAACTATCAATTATAGCTCAAATAGTGAATTATCAGTCATCAATGATCAATCATTAGCTATCACTTATCCATCAATCAGCAATCTGAATTCTATAGTCGTCATTCATTAATTATCAAACAACTGTCAGTCGCCATCAATCGTCAATCAGCAGTCAATATGAATTTATACTTCTTTGTTTCTCTTTAACTCTTTCCATGTATCGATAAAAATCGATATTTTTTATTTTCACTTAATTTTTTTAAAACCTTCTTCCCACCGCATTGCATCTTCTGCTTTAGGCAGGGTATCTGCTAGTGGGATACTCCGCGCTAAACTTTTGCTTGCCTCCTCTGGTTGTACTTTGCGCATGTTTCAACCCTTTGAAGCATAGAATTCAATTGCAATTGTCAAGAGCCTGGCAAGGGCAAAGTTTATTAACCCATTGTGTGTGCTCTTGGGTGTACGGGGGTGGCGGGGCGCATAGCAAAGCTGCAACGAATGCAATGCAAATTGCATTAGAAAGGCAACCCTGCCACGGGCCCCAACCCCAGCCCCTACACATGAGCAACAACCCCAGCTAAAAGCGAGCATACAAATTTCATGACACGCCGCAATAAGATTTTAATAGAGCCGGCCTACGGGCCGAAGAGTTTGGGGCAGACAAATGTTGGCACGCAACTAATTAAATGGCGACAATGTTGCCGGAGGCAATGAACTCCACCCGCCCGCCGCCAGCCTCTGTCATTCCCCCTTCCCCTTTCTGCCGCTGTTCCATTGTGTCGGCATAAAGTGGAACAATTTTACGCGCGCAATTTTTGATTCCAACGGAAATTCTGATAACAAATTAACGCGTCTTCTTCGGCCCCCGCCCCGAGCCCCAAGTCTCTCGCACAACTTTGATTCATTACGCAATTTAGTGTTGATAGTTAAAAGTTAACTTCCGCTTACAACAGCTGCCACGCCTCACGGCCTGCACGAGCCAATTGACAAACAGTTTTTCGGAGAAATTTCAACATTTACAAAATGCAAAAAGAAAATAAAAGAAAAATGTTCAAACGAATTTCGTATTAATGGAAATGTATGCCAAAATTTTTCTTTGACGTGGCTCGTAAATATTGTGTGGAAAATCTGTTGAAAATTCTATTTACTAACATAAACAACAGCAATGGCAACGAGAACCAATCGAATCCCGGAAGATTCAGACACAAAATTTTTGAAAGCCCGAAGAAATAAGTGTGGCTGAAAAGCTATAGACGAAGTTGAAATTCCCTAGTTTTATCTTGATTGTAATGCTATGATAGTATTATATGTTGACTTGGGAAATTTGTAACAGATTTTCTCAGATTTAGCTATATTTCATATACATATGTCTCAGAACTTCAGTTTAGGTTTATACAAAATCAACTGAAGTTTTTATGCAACCATCTAATTTGATAATCCGTAAGCCATCTATATAATATATCCCACTTATGTGCTGTTTCATGTTTCAGCATAAGCGAATCTATTCCATAGAAAATCAAAGAGTTCTGGTTTTCCCTAATTGATTTATGGCAAATAGATCTTTGTATATCTATATATGCATATACCTGAATCTGTATGAATCTAGTTTATATTGTTGTTTGTATTGCTTGTACATCAGCCAATATCGCTTATCAGTTTGTATAGCCATCAGCAAAACAAATGTCAAAGTCAGCTTGACCAAGTAGCAGACAAACAAATACCCTGTCAACAGTTATCAAAGGATAAATTAAAGAACATTTCAATTTAAAATACAAAGCTCAAAAAAAATTTTTTTTTTTGATTGAATGAAAGTCAATATTGACTTGAATATTGTATACATACATAATATATAAATAATGTACTCAGATCGTAGAGCACTTTGATATTCTAGATAAAAATATTATATTATTCGATGCTTTTCGTTTTTCGCTTTCTGTTGCCCCTCAAACGTTGCTCTTAGTTGTTTTATAGGGTATACACAAGTTTCTAACTGCCTTTAGGCATAACAATGCAATAAATTGATAATGAATAATTAGAAATACCTACACTATTATATAATCCTGTATAACTGAATTGCTTTAAATCGAAGTTCAATTTTAGATTCTATTTTCAGAAATTGGACTACGTCCTAGATATACAACAACTCCCTATGAAAAAAATAGGAATTCATTTTGTTTCCATTTAAAACGAAAACGAGCCATTAAAAATCAAAATTTATAGAAATTGCAGTTTATTGTAGATAGCTTAGAAAACTAACTCTTGGTCAAGTTTAAGAGAAGCTCAAAATTTTTGTATTCCAGTTTAAAGACTCTTAAAATTTCAATGTAATAGCATACACTAAAACTTCAACAGATTTATAATCTGTAATAGCTAGGGAAAGTATGAACGAATGTACCTCTCTTGGCACACGTAAACAGCGTACTTTCGTTCAGAGCAAAGATCTATACAAATTATTGGCTCGTATTCGCTTCGCTTCGCTTTGCGTCAGCTCTAAAATGCACAGCCATAAATAATTGTTTGCCCCCAAAACTGAACCGCTTATACATTATATTTTTTGTTTATGCCCTGAGTCCATTAATAATTGCTAAGCAGGGTATACCCTGAGCCGGATTACACATATATATGCGTCAGCAGCATTAAAATATTATATATGAGTCCCTTTTTATCAAATCATCGATAACATCATCATGAAATATGCTAAGATTGATAACAGCCCTTAGTTATTCAATCATATATGGTTGATTTTAAGAGCTGAACATCTTTGTAGTTGATCTATAGATTTCCTAATTCGCAGGTATATGAATAGATATGTACTTTTACTTATACCCACATTTCACTCTCATCTCAATCAAGCAAGAAACCATAAAGTAATATAATTACTATTTTATGTATATTATCATATAGGATATCTCTTAGTCGTGCACTTTCGACTATAGCACTTTTACTTGCTTTTGTACATTTATGCCTATACTATATCATATATTGTATAAAATGTTTAGTACGATATATAGTCAATCTCTCTCTCTCTCTCTTTCTCTGCGAATTCCTCTCAGATTTGGCATACCTAATGTGTAAATAGTTTTATGATTTTTCTATTCATATGTATTCGTATATCCATATATATATGGTATATACATATTCATATATTGGTAGTATTTCACACTATTTGTCTAAACAAAGTTCAAAATGATTTATGGCAATATGTTCGTAACGTTTTTTTAGTTTATAATTGTGATGATATAATTACGACAATTTACGAGTCAGAATTTCTATTTGTTTACCACTTGGTGATAATTATACCCGCTCACGATGAATGAATGCTATGAGAGCATATACGATTCCTATAAAGCACGATCTTCCGTTTGCAAACAAAGTCCGAAATATGTAATATGGACTATATGTATATGATAGTCCTTGAGCTTCAAACAAGTCTTGATTCACTGTTGGGCTTTTCGTTAGTTACTTCTTTTTGTTTTTCTCTTAATATGAGCGAGTATGCTGCCGCTGGTTATGCCCAATTTCCACCTTTCTTAATTGTTTAGCTTAGCGTGCGATCATATATATATATATATACATATATATATATATATATATACATATCTAATTTTTGTTTTCTACCGGTTCACACTATTATATAATGGCAGGCATTAATTTTGAGATGTTCTGTGGATGAATGTGCCAAGCAGGGGGGGAAATAACACTTGCACTTTTGATAGAAACATATCATTAAAGAAACGTATTGCATACCTGCAAAGAGAACAAGAAAAACGTATTTCGTTAGTTTGATCATAAAAGTTAATATAATACATATATAGAATGTGTATATGATATAATAAAACTATAGTAGTATATATAAAAAATCTTTCAAGTATGAAGCATTAACATTAATTCAGTATTTCTTGACTAACAGTTAAATTTACATATAGAAATATATATACATATAGTCGCATGAATCGAAATTACAATAAACTGAGCTCTATAACTCGACTAGGTCAATCACATTTCAGGATCCACATAGTGTTTATACATTTAAATATATGAATTTTGTATTCCATATACATACATATGTATATGTAATCATATAACTAATATATTATAATATAATCATTTACATTTTTGTTTAGTATTTCATACCTCTTTCGATTAGGCTCGGTTGTACACAGATCTTAAATAGGTATATACATCTCTATATATAGCTATAAAGACACACACTTTAATTTATACACATTTGAAGCTTCAATGGATCAATTTGTTTCCCTTTTTGGCTCAAAATATTTACTTCTGTACTCAAAAATCCAGCTTCAGACTGTGCTTATCTTTGAACTATCTTTCAGAAAGTTCTTCACACAGTTGACAGACAATTTCACGTACAAAACTCAGTTGAAATGCTGATTCTTGACTTTGCACTCGCACAGAAAAAACAAAAAAAAAATTAAACCTAGGTAAATAACTAGAAGATAGTACAAGAAAATGATTTATGACAGCATTTTAACGTACCGAAAACGAACAAAAAAAATTAATGAAAAAAAAAAAAATTAAATAATTTCTTTTGTTTTTGTTGGTTTTTATCTAGTTTTTATTTTCGTTTTCGTTTTGTTTCGAATTCGCGGCAAAAGATTCGCTTGACGGCAACGGACAAACTGAAATATGTGAAATTATTAAAATCCATTCAATGGCATCTAAGTAGAAGTACACACACATTGAATGAGAGAGACAGAGAGTATGGGAGAGAGCGAGAACGAGAGACAAACAACATTTTGCTGTCAATTGAATGTGAAGTGTGTTTCACAGATCGCAAACAGTTGAAGGCAAAATGCGAGAGCTTCTGGACGCACTGAGGGTAGGGGGATATCTACACATACATATATACATGTGTGTATATTTGTTTGTGTGCATGTGTGTGTGCGGCATTATCAGCGTGTTTATATTAAGTGTGACACTCGTTTATGGGTGTTTTCGAGTGCGATGCATTAAATGCAAGCGATTATCTTTTAACACCCGAAGCTAATCTCAACTGCAGGGGGGTATATATCAACTGAGAATGAGAGAGAGGGTGAGAAAGAGGGAGAGCATTTGACTGATAGTTCCATTGGATTTTAGCTCACTCGTAAACCACTCAAGCAACTCAAGCAAAAGCTTTCAATCTCACCAAAAATTGTTCAACTTTCGAAAAACTACGTTTTCAGCTTCAATTTAAGCTTTAAACTCCTTTAGAGATTTAAGTGTAAGTATATTCAAATGCACAGCTTTAACTCTTCAAGCTTACTTATAGACTTTAGCTTACAAAGGTGTGATTAAAGTCCTTATCAAGCTATATATTCCACTTTCTTCACTTTGTATAACCAGAAAATATATCTTATATGGCAAGAGCTTGACGAGCTTTAGTTGTATTGCTTTTAGGCCTAATTTTATAATTTTCATTCAAAGCCAATGCGTTTATCCTTAAGCTTCAAAACTTACACAAGTGCATCAAGTATCATCACAAGTATACCTTAAGAATTTTACCTTAAGATAAAATGTTTAAGCACGCTTAAAGCTCGCTTTAAGCCTTTCGTACACTTAAATCCATGTGAGACACTCATTAAGTTTTAGAGCTCACATAACGAAAATCGAAATTGTATGCACATCAAATTCAATTCAATTATTTGGAAGATTTCAAATTTAATAACACTTAAAGCTTTTTTACCAAATTTAAGCACACACTTCGCACTTCCGGCAGCGATTCTCAGCATTTCTGTTGAAGTGACAAATGAAGTCTGAATCTCGCGCCATCAAGAACTCTTCTCCAAAGTCCCCAACTAACGCTTACGTAATGGTAGAGCTATAAGCTTTAATGCTAAACAAGGTTATAGATCAAAGCACAAAACTCACATTAAAATCTCATTTGCTAAAACCATTCTGCTACATATCGTATATAATGAGATGATCTATGCCATATGTATGTACATAAATACGCCATAGACATGTTTATATTTATATATGTTATATAAGCCTATATGAGTTTATTGTAATTCACAACTAGTTTTAGTTAAGAAATAGTTTTATATAGAGTAGAATTTTAATAGTAGCTCATATAAGTATTCGATCAATAGCTTCAATGATGTTCTCTTTTTCCTTATCTCGCACTGTTTGCTGGTGAATCAAATTGGATCATCAAATTAGAATTCGAATTATACTTGAACGAAGTGATGACAGCATAAGTTATCATGATTGAGATTCCGAATCAGATGAGTTATGTGGCCCAAGACCAAATTCAGTTTCATCGCTTTCGCTTACATAGACGATGGGGGGATTTCCATTTAGCAGACGAATACCCAGTCACTCAGGCAGCCATTGCAAATCTATTGATATTTCAATAGGTAGTTGCTTTCTCATTGACAATCCAATCATAATTGCTCCAAATATTTTTGAATTGGAAGAAGTAACGATGAAAATGTATAGATAGCTCTTCTACAATGGAAATCGACATCAAAAGATCAGAGCTTAAGTCAACAAACTGATTCTAGACCCATGTTAAGACTTGATTGGCCATTGTCTTCAATTTTCCAAGTCAAAATCTACAAACTTAATATGCTAAATTTTCGAAGAACTTATCAGTATCTACATGTACATATCTGTACCCAAGTTCATGTTTTAACATTTCTTTAATTTATTTACAACGTAAACACTATTGCAATTTGCAAATGTTATTCGAAACCTATAACGAACAATTGACCCATTTGAGTTAATGGTCTCAGCAAAGACAGAGAAACAAAGAAGAGGTGCGAGCGAGGAGTGAGACAGGGCGAGAGGGAAAGAAAGAGGTACTACCCCTTGAACGGGCATTGCATGATGCCTTTGATAAAAATATAACAACAATAAAACAAGTAGAAGTACTTCAATCAAGAGGGCACGACTGAAAGATACCCTGCACGTAAAACAAAAATCTGAAAAACTTTTTTTGTTTAACTATAAACTGTAAACTGCAAACCGTAAACTGTACTCCCACCCTAAAATAGTTCACAGAAGAAATCTTATAGGACTCGAGAACATATAAAAATCATATTCATCAGATCGCTTTAATATTGAAATAATCTCTCACATCGGTTATAATCTTCGTATTCACGAAGAGAGATTAAAAGGACAAGTACATATTATAAAAGATTATGAATCGATAGGAATGGAAAAGTAGGCAAATATCATTGTACACAAGGCTTTATCAATGAGAATTCTGCTTAAGAATCTAATATAATACGATTAACCAATGATCAATATGCCCTACATATTTTCTATGAGTCCAGGGTACATTAAAAAAAAAAAAAAATTGCTGGAAATTCAATCAACGCGAATGCACTCGAAAAATGTATTCACAAAAACGAATCGCCCACATGGAAATGATACTCAACATATATTATCAACATATGTATATACATATATACATAGTTGTACACTCAGAATGCAATGGACAGTAAGTGGAATTGGAAGAGCAAGACCAACAGCAACAGTAACAGTAACAACAACAACAAAGGCAACAAATTGCACGCATCTTTCAATTGAGGAGGTTAGGTCTTCCCCTTAGGGGTAACTGGGGGCACAATCATATTTATATATATTGTAGTTATACTATATATTTAGTCGTTGTGCGTTACAAACCCAACTGCACTTTTGCAATTGAACAATGTGTGTACTGAAATCAAATTCCACGCACTTAAATGAACAGCATAACTGTAAACATTTCCTGTTTTGTTATACATATTCTATTATTTGCAGCATAAATAATTCTATTGACTTGATTCCACGCACACAATTCGAGAGCCTTAAGAGTTACTTACGGGAAACCACCGGGTAACTGCGTTTCCAGGAAATCGAAATGAAATGAAGCATCAAGAATGGTTTGAGTTTGAGTTATAGAAGATATAAAGTTGAGAGCTTTAGATCCCAAAATGCAATGTATAATTTCGGGATCTGAAGTACTCAACTTCATATCTTTTGAGTTGGGATATGCGGAAGTGGATATCATCAAAGCTCTAGGTTGTATATCTATCGTTCCCCCAACTGTAACTGTTCCTATATTTATCTAGAACTACTTTGGAGCTAAGATATAAGGTAGAGGAAGTGGAAATATATGAATATATCATCCATGAGTAATACTATTATGACTATCTGCAATTCTAATCTGCTTCATCTAAAGGTCCCGTGTTCATATAATAATCATTGTACATATAATGTTGTTCCATGTTGTTTCAACCGCAAAATATTTTGCAAATATTTTACGCAAATGTTTCTCTAATTGCTTCTATATATTATATGTCTATATACTTATGTATACTGTGGCATACATTAGCAATAGAAAATTATTTATAAAGTGTTGGCTCTTGTGACGTCACGAAATATAATAAAGAAATTCCATTGTTTTTAGATGGTCCTAAACTTTGGCAACGGCAATTGCAATCCAACTACCAAATACGCCGCGTAGAGCCAAATATGTCTAGAGCATTATGCCGTTGGCGTTTGCACAATGATGCATATATCCAAGCATATGTATATACATATCTATCTATACGTCTAGCAATCGGTATGGTTAGCCATTTGTCAACCGCTCAATCGCTCAGTGCGGACATTCGCTGCATGCAAATCGGAACTCGAGAAGCTCTCAATTGAAATCGATCCGATCTGACAAAGTAAAAGTACGGCGACACCAATAAGTGAAAGTGTTTGAACTGCGTATGCCCAACTGGCAGATACCGTCTACTAATTATGGATCTATATATGTATACATGACCATATGCATATAGAGCAAATTAAGTGTTTCGAAACAAGTTCGATACCTACCGTATGTCATAGAGATATAAATAAGATATAGAATATCTGCCGCTCTAGAAGAATCGCCAGGTTAATTTTTTTACAAATCGATATTTATCGATATGATAATGATGATGATATAAGAATATTCTATACGGCTGCAGCTATCAAAACCTGTTACAATTGCATTTACAGGGTATATTAAATGCAAATCGATGCTTGACATTGGATATCCATATTCTGAAAGAGAGCTCTACTCAGGGTCTTCTTATTTCTTTTGCTTTTCGTCTTTTCTTTTCTCAAGCTATTTTATTGACAGTCGATTTGGGGGCGAGGGCGTTGGCGCAGCGGACGTAGCATCCGGCCTGATTTGCTGTTGCAGGTAATTGAAATGCTTGGCCTTGACTTCCCTGCCTTCTTCATATGTGTAAAAATCAATGCGAGCTGCGATGTAAAATGACTGCAACGCGTTACATGCCTCAATGCTAATATTGGCCAAAAGCACATTGAGGCCTAAAGTACTGAATGGCAGGAGCGCTCATGCAAAGCTGACAAAGTTGCATGAATGAATGAATATTATCCGATTGATTCTGATAAACCTATATAACTTTAGCTCTACTTTGAATGTAAAAAGAGGAATGCTTGAGCCGTAAGCATTGAACTGAGTAGAGATAGAGTAGACTAGCTTAAGTTATAAGCAATAAAGATTCGGTTTTTCATCAGGGCCAGCCTTAGCAATACTATCAATGTATGAAAAATCTGTATTTACACTTAAAATTAAGATTTGATTATATGAAAATATCTAAACCTAAAGCTATCCTTGTCTTTAAAATCTTGAATTTTGAGTGACTGAACAAGAATGATTAAAAAGCATATCAAAGCATTGCGTGAAAGTTTGGAAAGCTTACGAGGAGATCATTCAAGGTAAGTTTCTGTCTATCTAAATCTAAGTCAATCCAAATATACTACTTTAGACTAAGCTTTATGGTACTTTACGAGCTTTAAGACTAAGCAGCTGAGATTACTTTGGAAACCTATCGGATGGCGGCTTACCTGTTCACTGCTTGGCTGATATATTGTATCTGCGCATCATTATTGAGCAGCAGGACAACGGGCGTGGGCAGGAACTCATCCAGGATGTGATTGTGCGCCTGCGCCTTGCTCAGCATAGAGATGGCTGTGGCTGAGGAGCAGGAGGATGTTGTCGATGTGGACGAGGCGTTCGATGACACCGGCGAGGGCATCGGTGTGATCGAGGGCGTGGCTAACGAAAGCTTCGACGAATGCTTGCTCGACCCAAAGCTGCGGCGTATCGATTGTAGACTCTGTCGCAAGAACGATTCGCGTTTGATGTTGCCGCTGCGACGCTTCGACGCCGACGGCTCGATAATGCACAACGTCGACGCCTCAAAGTGCACCTTGCCGGGCAGCGATTGTGGGCGTGGCAGATGTAAACCATGTGCCGCCGGTGAGTGCTTGAACAGCTCCTCAAACTCGTGCGGATTGCGACGCAGCAGCTGAGCCTCCTGCTCGCTAATGAACTGTGGATCCTGCTGATCCTCCTCTTGCTGTTTCATTCCATTTTTGATAACCTTCGTTTTCTGCGTTTTGTTTTGGGACTTCTTCGAACGCGTCTTCTTGGTGGGCTGCTCATCAGCAACGAGCATCAAGGAGGCGATATCCGGAAAGGGTTGCATATCAGGCGATTGCAAACGCTTATTATATAGCCCATGATTATTGTTATTGTTGTTGTTTCTATTGCTATTATTGTTATTGTTCTTTTCAATGAAACTGTAGGATTTGATGAGAAACAAATTCGATTTATTTTTTTTTGCCTTCAGCTGCTGCAGAGTGCTCTCCGGCTCCATCGATGAATCGACTTTCCCATTGCTGTTGACCTCCTCCTCGTTGATTGTGGCCATTGTCTGATTTACTTATTTTTTGTTTTTTTTTTTTTTGCCTCTACTTTTATTTTGCTCTTTTTCTTGTTTAAATATTCTTTTTTGTTAGTTTTTCTTCTCTTTTGCTATTTTTTGTTTGTCTTATTGTTCTAGTTGGTGCGTGTTTTCACTATTTAACAACATCTTTTCGATCAGATCTCTCTGCATATGCCTCTGTCTCTCTCTCTCTCTCTCCCTCACACACTCTCTTCGACTGCGGAAAGAAGGGCAGAGCTAAAGTTATTTTTATGCCACTGCGATGACATTGGCGGAGCGGAGCGGAGCGGAGCGAAGTGAGAGCGCTTCAGGCACTGGGAGGTCGATAAACTATCAAACACACATACACACACACACGCACACAAATATTGTTGAATACCTGTCGAGTTGGTGTTGGTGAGCTATTGAAAGCTTCCCTTAGGCATAATGCAGCAGCTGAGCCTTCTGAGCATCTCTCGTTTATATTGTTGTTGTTTTTATAGTTTTATTTAAGTGAGCGAATCTTTGTAATGATCATGATTGAAGGAACTAGTTTAGAGATCAGTAAACAAGTGCAGTTCAGTTGCTTATAAAGGTAACTACGTGATCGGATATTCAATAGTTCATGAGCAATGCGTCTTATTAAGATGTGTAGCTACTGATCATAAGTAATCAACTGATCTAATAAATTGAACTTAATGAACGGATTATCGAACTAATTCCACAAATAGAAATAACATTTCCAACTATACTAAAAGTAACTACAGTAAAGGAGTTCAAACATTATGTAATATATGTACATTATTCGATATACTCTATAATAAGACAGTTCATCATATTCATCAGGTATTTAAATATTAAATCTAAAAAAAAAATCAATATTATAACAAATAACTTTTGCCAAACATATCCGACCGGAAATGTAATTAAATAAGAATTTTACGCTCTACTGAAGTGCAACAAATTAGATCTGTATATTAGTCAGAGTAAAGCGTTAGAGTATTTAAGCAACTTGTTTTTATGGGATTACTTTATTGTTAGATATTTCTGCAAGGATTACTAACATCTCCTCGTGACTGCAAATGTTAGATAACTGAACATATTTGTTACAAATACACATATATCTATGTATCTGCAAATATTTCCATCTCTTTATGAATTGACAGCTTTTAACCAATTGAGTGCTAATCTGTATTTGTTTACAGTTAGCATATATAAAGCTGAAAATTTGTAATGTGCGATTCAACATTATCGTAGATCTCTTAATTAAACGAACGAAATTAATTAAACTGTCGCTGCTAATTTTTCATATAGTTAGCACAGTCCGCTCCAAATGTTAAAGATATACTTTTCATATTTATTGTTGACAAAGAACTCGCACGAGTGCCAGCTGATAATTATTTGAAATTTCAATCATGATTATTATAGATTTAGATAATAAATATATATGTATGTATATGTACATATATACTAGGAAACAGGGCTTCTTTTTGCGTAATGCTACTGCAGATGCTCGCGCTCTTTCTAGCATCAGCTGTTGCTGCATGTCCATGCCAATGCATGTGTGTGTGCGTGTTAGTTTTCTTTTCGCTGCTAAAGTTCTTTTTGTCATATGTACTACAATAGATGGCGCCACACAGCAGCCGCCCGGCATACGACAATTGTCTGCCACACAGGCCCACACACACATACATTCTCACACTCTTATATATGTACGTTCTCTCTTCACCATCCACGTATACGCACACGCTCTCACTTCGCCTCGTTCGAATTGTTGTTTTGGTTTGGCCAGCAGGTCTTTCGCTCTCACGCTTTGCCTCTCTCAGCTGTGCGCGTGTATTTGCTTTACCGCTTCTTCTTCGCCTTGCTGCTACTGCCGCCGCTGTTGTTATTCTTGTTGTGGAGTACAATTCTTTTTCTTATTTTTTTTGAATTGGCGTTTTTTTGTTTTGCTTTTCTCGTCTTTTTTGCATTTATTTTTGGCCACGACACACGGCCAACAATTTCCGTCACTTTTTTTCTTTTAATGATGTCACTTGGCCGTACTCCCCGTCTACGATGATGTCTACGGCTGTGTTTGCCGCTAACCGCGTAGCCCGTTTACAAAATATGTTTGATCGACGTTGTTATTGTTCTTGTGCGTATTTCGCTTTGTTGTTAACGCCAAACTAATTCGCCGCAATTCAATAAACAGTTACATTAGAACGGACTTTTTATTTGTTGATAAACTTTATTGTTGTGCACGCGATAGCAAACAAAAATAAACCAAAGCCACTTCACACTCAAAAAAAATTAGCTAACGAATTTTTTTTAAAGGAATACAAAAAAAAAAAACACAAAATGTGGAAAAGCGGCCGCCGCTCGCTAATGCTGCTTTAAAAAGCACTTTCTCGCTCGCTCTCCCGCTCACTGGCTACCCGTCTGCGTTGTCGTTCGCTTTCGCACTGAATTTCAAATTGAAGTGCCGTTGCGGCCAGACCCAACCAACGTCCAGCCAGGCAGACAGCAGCAGAAGCCGCAGCAGCAGCAGCGACAGCGGCCCTACATCAACAATATCTGAGACGAAGCGAAGCGACGCGGCGAACAGACAAACGACGACGACAGCGACGGCGAATTGTGGCCGCATGCATGCATACGCTTATGTCCATGTGTTCGTATGGGTGTGTGTTTGAATAAAAAACTTCTTCCCTGCTTATCATGCTGCGTTGCGTTGGCGTCAGCGCCGACGTAGCCGTTGGCTTCACTTATTATGTTGTTGTAAAGAAATTTAACAATGAAATGAGAGAAGATGAAGAAGCCGCACCAGCAGAAGACAAAAAGCTGAGCGCGCTCTCTTTCTCTCACTGGTTTTCTACCTCTGTGGCGATGGTTCTCTTTCGCTTATGCTTCATCTAAGGAGCCGCAAGCAGCTGATGCTAGCAGATCCGCAGCTGAGATTTAACTATTCACCGTTAAACGTTCATTGCTTTGATTCGCCTTTCGCTTGCCAATTGATTTTGCTGTTGTTGTCTCCTATTTTTTTTCACTGCTGACCCTAAAACCATTCAACAATACCACCACACACACATGCACAGAGACTTGTGCTTTTTTCTTTCTCTTTGACTGGATGATTTGTGATTTTTCGCTTGCGTTGTGCAAAAATATTGAGCGGCGAAAAAAACGTAGCTAAAACTAAGAAATATGTATACGAAATGACAATGGAGCAAAATATTAAAAAAAAAAAAAAACACATATTAAAGCAAAATAAGTAGTTTGGGCGATACCACACACCGGCGTCCCTTCCTAATCAACTGCCTGCTATCATACATTGGATACATGCCCCACTCCTCAAAATGTTCTTTAGTCTTAATTGAACTCTTACCGTATTATTTTTCGATAAAATTTTAGAGATAAGTCGCCATGTGTTTATTGATATGGCAACGCTATTGTTAATTGCAATACTACATTTAATTCACCTCTCTCTCTCTCACAGGCACACACACAGTTCAGGCGCCAGTCATGGTCACCCTACAGATGAGCTATGCGAAAACCGCAACCGACTAAAAGCAAAAAATGAAAAAATAATAATAAACAAGGGCAACCTTCCACTCTATCTAACACTCGATCTGTTGTGGCCCATTATACAATTACCCTATATTTGTAACAGTTAGCATAGGGTGTTACAAACTAAAGTGGACCTTTTGATCAATCAATCAGTCAATCTTATAGACTAAAGAAATGAAAAGCTAGAGAGCTTTTCATAATATATATTTCAGTATGTTTGAATAACGCTATAGGGCTTCCAGGCCAGAGCTGAGAGAAGCTTTAATTTTATGATGATCTATTTTTGTTCATTATACACATACATATATTTACATATGTACATATCTGACAGTTTTTCTTACATATTTATGTATGTAGCTGTGATTATTCGCTGTTTAGGTTGCATTCGACGTTCTCTACTCCACTTTCTTCACTTCAGCTCTTTTTTGTTCTCTTCACTTCATTCTTCTTATCTTCTAATGTGCCTCTCTTTTTCGTTTCTCCATTTTGGTTCTTCTTCTTTTTTCTTCAGTTCTTTCTTCTTCGATCTTTCATGTACCTTTCATTTCTTTACATCTTTTTTTGGGCATTTCTTTTCTTCTTTTTGGTTCTTCTGCTTTTTTCCATGTTCATTCTGTTCATTCCTTCTCTGCGTTTCTAATATATTGTTTGCTCTTCGTTTTTTTCTCATTTGTAATCTGCTCTGTTATCTTATTCGCAATACTTACTGTCTATTTAACTCTTCTCTTTCTTCTAACACTACTTTCGTTCTCTTCAAAGTGAAGATATTTAAATTGATTTATAGGGTATCTTCAAGGGCAGCATTCAGCACTCAAGCACTCTAGGCTACTATTATTTTTTTATGTGGGGCGTCACTTTCATGGGGCGTTTTGTTTTGCTAATAGTCTCATTAACAGATATGATATCGTATCTGCAAATGGGTCCATGGCTCCAATCGACGGGAAATGACTGCGAAGCTGGGAAAAACTCAACCCAAAAGAGAAATCGTTCAAAGTGGAAAAACTGTCTTGACTCATTGCATTTACCGCTATTTCTAGGGCTATCACAAATCTATATAGAAATTAAAAATAAAAACAATAAAACGTCACAATTGATAGCGAAATTGCGTAAGATCCAAGTGAAACATAATCAATATATATATGTGTGTATATCTGTATATCATATGCCTGTTGATAAAAACAATTATAGCGCAGAAATGAAAATTAATCTTTGTACCTTCTCGAAATGCCAAATGACTAATGATTTCCAGGTGTTCACCATTTGTGCAGATATGACAGCCAAATATGCTGTACACCTGGTCTAATGAACTAAGTAAATTATGATAGGAACATGTATGCATATACCTATATATAGTATATGCCCTATCTATCCAAATATCTACCTACCCATCGATATGAATACGTCAAGACTTATGCACAGGTGGCCTGATATACGACGACCTAGCAAACATCAGTTCTATTATTCGTAATACTAATTGCCAAGCACGGAGAAGCACCTCACGGCCTT